AGAGACAGAGAGAGACAGAGACAGAGAGAGACAGAGACAGAGAGAGAGAGAGAGACAGAGACCGAGACCGAGACCGAGACGGAGACGGAGACGACAGAGACAGAGACAGAGACGGAGACAGAGACAGAGGCTGACCTCAACTCCTATCTTTTCCCTCTATCCCCGCTGCCGTCCTACTTTAGTCCTCTGTTGGGCCGGCGCCCGGCTGTCAGGCGTAAGCCTTAAAATATATGTTTTTCTTTTTTATCATGCTCAAGAGGACGCCTTTTTGTGACCCGGCATGTGCAAAGGTTGTGGTGCAGACGACTGTGAGTGGTGAAATGAATTCAGCCTTTACACCACGAACCCACTCGCATGTGTCAATGAATTATATTATATATATATATAAATCAATCAAGAAACAGAATGAAGGACAAAAGGCAAAGAACAGCATGCACCACAGCCAAACCACTTTGGTTGTTCATGCTTCCTTCCGGTTTGACGCAGTGCCCTGTAAAAATTGCGAACCGCAACAACCATCTGCAGCCAAAGGTCTTGGCTCCCATGCAGGGTGTGCCACACTCGTTGTTGCTCATCTGAATACCTCGATGTCGAGTGCAAAGCCCGATGCATCCTTGCAGGGTGTGCTTCGAAGAGTGGCCCCAACGAAGAATCCCCGATTCGTGACCTTGTCCCCGTAGCTTACTGGCTGTGTCCAAAAATGAAACTCACGCTTGGTGACGCTAGACCTTTCAAATCGTTTTGCTTCGCTAAACTCCCGCCTTTCAGCGAATACCAATCGCTCCACTGCTGAAAGATGCAGTCCTGCCTCTCGCATTGTGGCTTGCATGAAGGCATCCTTGGTACAGGGGCTTTGGCCAACAAAGGCATCATGATGCTCCTGCAGTAACCCCAGCGACTACCTTCCGACCCAGCCCACCCAGCCCACGATAGCTAAGCTGAGCATCTCCTCACATTTTCCGGTCTCTTCCTCACGTCCTCGACACTCACCCGAAACAAGCTTCACCTGTCAGGTGCTGGACTGCCACATTTGCTGATCCAATATGGCAATCGATGGTATGGAGCACCGAGATCATGTCTACACTCCACTATCTCGACTCTAGATTCTCCTGTCTCTCTCAACGAAGTGAACCCAAACAATGCCGCGGCTCTCGCGCATGCACCCCATGCGCCTGAGCTTTCTCAACCTCCTGAGCAATTGCCAAGCAGCTCAGCAAGGCATAAAGCCATGGCCGCCATGACCGTGCCATGGAGCCCAGCGCCCTGAACGCGGCAGCAAACGAAGTGAACGCAAAAGACCAAGAATCTCCTGAGGCAACCCCCACCACTTGGATGACACTCAGTGGCATTACTGGGTGTAAGCCCACATCACTTGACCTCGATCTCGATATCACTAGATTCATCCTTCCTGCCACCCTGCTGACCTGTGTATAGTCACAGTCATAGTCATAGTCATTTGGTGTATCCCATCACCACCAAGTGATTTTAATATAGCGGGTGATAGCACTTAGTAGGCACCTGTAGAATAGGCTTTTCTTGGTTCATGTGTTCATTTCGGCAGTACGGATAGACCTCAAAGAACAGTTGAGCCGTTTCTATCCTTGGGCATGCATTACCGAATTTGCATCGGAGTGCATCGTATCACTGTCAGAAACCAACTTCAAGAAGAAACAGTGCATCATCCCACCTTTCGAGCCACTTGTCAACTGATTATTTTGCAGCACCTTTTGGGGGCGCATTGAACAGGGTGAAGGACCGAAGACTTTCGAGCCTCCAGAAGGGCACAAGCTTTGGGTCCAAAGGTTTGGTACAGCGACTTGAACCAATGGCTTCGTTTGGGCAAATCTTTTTGCGCGCAAACCTCTTGACCTGCTTTGAATAAAGCATGGCACCTGCAATCCTGGAAGCTGGCTCAGCAAGTAGACACTAAAACGCAAAAGGGATCGCAACTGATCACAAATTCGGCATACCTATGTCAGGGCGTAGCGGCGTAGGACATAACCACAGGGTTGTTGCTTGCAGGCAAATCACGCTCAATGCTTTGCTTTTCATGCACAATCGATTGCTGAGCCGTAGGCAGGCTGAAAATCTGTTGAAAACCTGCTGAATTAGATTAAACTAAAATAGAATTAAACTATTACTAGCTTCTTGTTACTACTAGTAAGGCACCTGTTACTACTAGCGATGCACTTGTTACTACTAGCGTGGCACCTTGTTATGTACATGAAATTTGTCGGAACCGAGCCACTGCTGTGTCCAAACAACAATAGAGTCAGAACACGGGCTGAGAAAGCGCTGTGACTGAAATTTATCTAACAGTGCCTCTGAGAACCTTAGGGTCCAAGGATCTTTCCAAGGACTTCATGAAACTTCATTTACTGTAGATCGAAACTGCCCTCAGTAACCCAGAGATCCAACATACAGAGTCCAAAGGTTGGCAACCTGCAGCGAACAAAGAAAAAAATTGTGTACATATAAATATATGTGGGCAAATATGCCTGCTGACTCTGGAAAGAATCAAACCTGTCTTTGCCAATCAAATGCAACTACGAACCTCCAGAATCAATCTTCTCAATCGCAACAAATGTTGTGCAATCAAATGGCATCTATGCTTGAACAGGAACACCAATGATTCTTCCCATTGCCCCAGTGGTCACCAGGGTTCCACGCATACAACCAGCTGCTCAGAAACACATGACCACCTGCAACAAGGTCCCTGACAAAAGGGGACACGTCGACAGAATGAAATGCCACAGGACGCACGTGTGAAGAAGAGTCCCAGGGTCCCAAGATGCAAACACCAAGTCTTGATTTGCTGAACTCCGAGAGGAAGCCACTTCAAACCCAAACCACGCAGCGGCAAAAGTGAGGTGGTCAAGCATGCTCCAAGCGTCGTGCCGTCGTGCCTTCGGCAAGCTCTTCAGTGCACCCAAGACTGCATTGATTTGCTCCGCCAGGTGGATGGTCTGCCGGATTTGGACCTGGTTCCCCCATCGTAGCCCAAAAGAGCTTTGGCATGTACCCCGAGTCAAGGTTGTGCAAAAGGTTGTCAACAATTCCAAATGAGGAAGTACGTATCCAAAAAGGTTCCGACAAACCAAAAATGCTCAGTTCCTGTTTCAATGTGAATGCTGCAAGTCTTGCAGCCTTAGACCCGCATCCCTTCTTCCTTCCGCCATCTCCTTGCCAAGCTTCGGAGGTATATCTTCCACCCATACGGCTCTGGACAGACAAACCCTGCAAGTTCTGAGAGTTTGAAACAGCACAGCGAAACAATTCGCGAAAACTGCATATGATGATATTGCATTAAAAAACTACTAGGAGCAAAGGGCATCGTTACTAGGAGCAAGGACAACTCTTGGGATGCGACCTCCTCCCGAAGCTCCGCTGTGTGTGCTTGCACAGCCCCCTTTACCTGGCTACTTCCAGCTCAGGCGAGATAGTTGTCTAAGGTTCTGGGAGAAAAACACGAGTTCTGTGTGACACATTGTAATGCCCAGTCCATCTCGGCAAGTTCAGGCTGTTGATCCTTTAGATTAGAATCAAGACTGAACACGCAACTGGACTGTTGATAACCTTACAGGGCTGTTACACAATCAAACCCCAATTTTCGAGTGTTTCAAGTCTGAATTGAAGGAGAGCCAGTCAAATTGCATTGCGCTCTACTACCCCTCGCTCTCTCCCTCTCCATTGGTTCCGCTGAAGCACACTTAGGGCACCTCGATCAAGAACTCCTCTCTCTCAGCGTCGCTGGGAGTCTTGCCCACAACCTGATGAGCAAACAGAAAAGCTTTGATTATTTTAGAATGTTTTAGCGGAGCTTGGCAAAATGAAATGATGGAAAGGATACAACACGAAACCCATTGATTGATGCATTTCATTATCAAAGGGATCCAACTTAACTGAAATAATCACCTCGGGCAAGCGAATGTTGTGCTCATGTGGCGAGTGAGGAAAAGCATCGAAGCCCTTTTTCCCGAGAGCGTCTGCGAAGGGTTCTTCGTAAAAACATCTGTAAAACTACGTCTCATCTACATCTTCACATCTGCACATCTTCTGCATTTGCACATCTACATCTCTGCTCATCTTCACATCTACACATCTACATCTCTGCTCATCTTCACATCTGCACATCTACAGCTCTGCACATCTTCTACCTTTGCACATCTACATCTCTGCTCATCTTCACATCTGCACACCTACATCTCTGCTCATCTTCACATCTGCACATCTACAGCTCTGCACATCTTCTACCTTTGCACATCTACATCTCTGCTCATCCTCACATCTGCACATCTACATCTCTGATCATCTTCACATCTGCACGTCTACAGCTCTGCACAGCTCTGCTCATCTTCATATCTTCACATCTGTACATCTACATCTACATCTTCACGTCTCCACATCTCACATCTTCACCTCTCGCTCTTCTTTTCTTTCTCTCTTAAGGCGGGGGCGGCGCCGCCGGAGCACCACGAAACGCAACCCTCTGCGGAGACGGCGCGAAATGCAGGCGAGAGTGCGTGTTGCCCGGTCCGGCGCAACCCTCTGCGGAGATCGAGCGCGCCGAGGGCGCGAAACGCAGGTGAGATTGCGTTTTGGATTGGTCGCGCTTTACTTTTGGGGGGCATCTCGTACGAAACACTCGTTTTGGAGACTTGGCGCTTCACTTTTGGAGGACGTCTCGTACGCAACGCTCGTTTTCAAAAAAAAACTTGGTGCTTCACTGTTGGAGGACGTCTCGTACGAAACGCTCGTTTTGGAGACTTGGCGCTTCACTTTTGGAGGAAGTCTCGTACGAAACGCTCATTTTGAAGACTTGGCGCTTCACTTGTGGAGCAGTTGTAGTGCACATGTAGTGCGGGGAAGAGCTTTTCAGAGCTGGTCTCAGAAGTGGCCAATTTGTAGCGCAACTGTAGTACGGGAAAGAGCTTTTCGGAGCTGGACTCAGATCCTGGCCAGTTTGTAGTGCAAATGTAGTACGGGCAAGAGCTTTTTGGAGATGGACTCAGAAGTGGCCAGTTTGTAGTACAAATGTAGTACGGGAAAGAGCTTTCCGGACCTGGACTCAGACTTGGCTGGCCAGTTTGTAGAACAAATGTAGTACGGGAAAGAGTCTTTCGGAGCTGGACTCAGAAGTGGCCAGTTTGCAGCGCACGTGTAGTACGGGAAACAGCGTTGCGGAGCTGGACTCAGAAGTGTTTGCTTCTAGTGTGACATGATTGCTTCTAGTGTGGGCAGACCGTGCGGCGAACGCAGCGCCATGCGGATTTGCGAGGTCTTGGTGGGAAGTCCATTTGCGCGGCGCCGTGCCACTGGGGAGTGCGAAACATGCTGCGGTGTAAACGCGGCGTGTCGCTGGTGAGCGGGATGATTGGCGGTATCGCGCGATACGATTGCTTGTATAGCGTGTGGGCAGACAGCGTGGCGAAATTACGCTCGCGATGTCGCAGCGCCATGCGGATTTGCGCGGCCTTGGTGCAAAGTGCGTTTGCGTGGCGCCGCGCCACTGGGGAGCGCGAAGCATGCTGGTGTAAACGCGGCGTGTTGCTGGTGAGCGAGACGATTGGCGGTATCGTGTGATATGATTGCTTGTAGTGTCTGGGCAAACCGCGTAGCGAAATTACGTCCGCGATGTCGCAGCGCCATGCGGATTTGCGCGGCCTTGGTGCAAAGTGCGTTTGCGTGGCGCCGTGCCACTGGGGAGCGCGAGGCATGCTGGTGTAAACGCGGCGTGTCGCTGGTGAGCGCGACAATTGGCAGTATCGTGTGATACGATTGCTTGTAGTGTGTGGGCAGACCGTGGGGCGAAATTACGTCCGTAATGTCGCAGCGCCATGCGGATTTGCGCGGCCTTGGTGGGAAGTGCGTCTGCGTGGCGCCGTGCCACTGGGGAGCGCGAAACATGCTGATGTAAACGCGGCGTGTCGCTGGTGAGCCGGATGACTGGCGGTATCGCGTGATATGATTGCTTGTAGTGTGTGGGCAGACCGTGTGGCGAAATTACGTCCGTAATGTCGCAGCGCCACGCGGATTTGCGCGGCCTTGGTGGGAAGTGCGTCTGCGTGGCGCCGTGCCACTGGGGAGCGCGAAACATGCTGGCGTAAATGCGGCTTGTTGCTGGTGAGCGGGATGATTGGCAGTATCGTGCGTTATGATTGCTTCTAGTGTCTGGGCAAACCGCGCGGCGAAATATTGCGAAATTACATTCGTGATGTTGATGTCGCAGCGCCATGCGGATTTGCGCGGC